CACTTTCTTTTGGAGCTTTGTCCTTAATTTCTAATGGTATAATTCAGTATCATCAGTAAGACAGAAACAAAACAAAATGATGTGTGTTAATGATGTGTGTGTGCACACGTATACACACACACACACACACACACACACACACACACACACACTGAAACATCGAGAAAATTTTCCATGGATCTAGAAAAGAGAAACAAATAAGCATAGTTGACAGTAGAGGCATTGGGATAGGCTGTGATATAATCTTGAAATTGTGTTATTAGAGAATAGTACAGGCCATTGAGTTAAACCTTTGGTCAAGAGAATAGAATCTCCAGCCTAGGTGGAGTCCTAACATTACAGTTGGGCTAGATCAATCACTTGACCAAGAGGCTACCCCTGGGAAGGCAGGCTCTTCCCTTATGCCATAAAAAGATAGGGAGAATAAATAGCCCTTTAATGAGATACTTTATCTTTCCTTCCCAGACTCTCGCCTACCTCTAGTGCAGTAGCCACATAGCTTCCTAAGTCTGTCCACTTTTCCTTTTCTTTTTTCTGTCTCTTTTCTTATCATGCTTTCTTAAAAATTCTGAGTTTGTCAACATGCTAGGCTTCTTTATTTCTTCTCTAAGGTCCCCTTGCTATCCATTTACCTGCCTGTCAACCATGTGTCTGCCCACCATGCCAGCTTAAATAGCATGGCTTTTCCCTTCCCCCCTCCACTCTCTCCTCTGGACAGCAATTAAAGTTTGAAGCTTGCAGACTTTCAAATTCCAATAAAGAAAATGTCATTAGCTCCAATCTGTGTCCATTCCTGATTTCTTTTTAAATAAGACTAATAACCTCAAGAGGGAACCCTTATTTCCCTGTATCAGCACAGTTGCAACTCAAGACCCAGCCCCATTCCTGGCTCACTGGGGACTATGGCAGGTCCCCAACTTGCTGGACTATGGTTACCTAATTTGCAAATGGAGATAATAGTCAATGAACTGGTGCTTCTCAGAGTTTGTTAGGAGGGTCAAATGAGACAGAGATTGTGTGCATCTTTGAACAGTACGAAATAAATGTGTGGAATCTGGAGCATCCCTATTATGACACACCTTTTAGCTTATTACAGTCTAGTCTTCTCCTCCAGGGAACAGTCTCCATCGCTATCCACTGAAACACATCAGACAACACCTGGCTTTCTTTCCCAACCCTGTCTGCTTGGAGAGGCTTCAGGATCCCTTGTTCAGGCACTGGTAGGTACAGTTGCTGAATCACCTCCCAGATAAACAACCCAAAGTGCCTGCAATGCCTCAGCATGCTAATTGATGGGACTGGAGATAAATAAGTCATGATTCCTGTTGTTGTCAGGGAACAGTTAACCTCAGCAGCTCGGCGACTACCAAGCTAGTGAAGCCCTGACATAACAGAGTCTCAGACACTGGTATTAAGCTACAACTACTCTTGTGTGTTATCACATCCAGGTGATGCTGCTCTTTCAGAATGCCACAGCATTTTATCTCTGCAGTTACTATCAAGGCCACCATCATTTCCCCAAATTCAAAAATATAGGTATTCTCATTTATTTCTTCTTCAGTCAAAGCCTTAAGGATCAATTCCTCCTCATTGCCCCTAGACAACAGCTGTTCCATGACTCTCTATTTCTCCAGGCAGATCTACAGTCCAGGCTCATGACACCGATTTGATGCTGGAAAGGCAACTTGTAGCCTTTCTTTGTCCCTCTGTGCCTCCCACCCCAATGCAGTACCCTCTTTGATCAGGTTGTCATTGAATTTCCCTACCATGACTAATCTGACCCAGAGCCACAATTCCTCACTGCTCAGGGTTTGTTTTTCACTCCTTATACAGTCTAGGTGACACTCTTACAAAGGCTTATGTGGTGGCATAAAATGAACTACTCAGGGGCTAAGAAGTTCTGGAGGTAATAATGCCTGAATTTTCATGAGGGTGGCTTCTAAACAGGTAGACTTCAGAGCCAGTCCCATCTGACCCTTGGCAAGAGGCATCCTATACCATAGTCTACAAGGCATCAAGGACCAGGGATAGCTTCTCTTGGTCCTGGGCATTGCAGAAGAAAATAAGCAAACAAACAACAAACAAAAACGGTAGAAGCTGAATGGGATGCCTTCCCTTTTGTTAATGGCACCCAATTTGTAACAGTAATGAGATATTAATATTGTCAAATAGACAGAACATAAATAAATATTTTAAAAAGCAGATAAGTCACATCTCGGAAATTTTTCAGTTTTTCTTATTGCAAAATCAATACCCATCAGTGGTTTGAAATTAAAGGCAAGATTAGGCCTCAGTTTTCTTCATACCTTATTGTATTCCAAAAGCTTTCTACTCGGTCAGATAAATCTTCTTTAAGAGGATTAGGAAACTTTCATTATCTTTATCTAACCTGAACTAACACCACGACTGAAAAATTAATCTATAGACCGGACAAAAGCTGATGGCTGCTGGGAAGAGAGAGGACCTTGGCTTCTCTCTCACTGAGTATCAAGAGCAGCAGGGTTGCTGTGTCTGCCTCCTGAGGATGCCAGAATTGCTCACCAGGACAGGAAAGAATGCCCTTGCCCAGCTGGCCTCTCATTTAATAGGAAATCCCATATGTGAAATGTTCTGGTAACAGAGCATCCTTTATCCTCCAGCCACATGCTGGTTTGTTTTTGTACTCCATAAGCTCCTAGGAGGCCATATCTACACAGGGCTGGGCCTTGGATATAAAGATTGGGAGGAATTGACTTTCAGGTTAGGAGAAACTGTTGCCCATGTGCTCCAACTCTCATACTCTGTATGAGTGCTCACCCCCCCCACACACACACACCAGATGACATACAATACTCCAAGAATCACCCATCATGTATTGCAGAGGCATCATCCATGAAAACACTTCCTGTGAACTCCATGTGACCTGTCTAAATTCTCACATACTTATATGTTTGTTTCATTCTGTTCATGTCAACAGCCTTGGTCGGTCTGAGTCTGTTTCAGCAAAGCCCCTGATAGTTTCTTCTTCATTTCAGGGCCACACCCTCTGGATGTGAAGAAAACTGAACTTTGAAGGCCTTGGGGGTGCCTCCATCAAGGCTGAGTATCAAGGCTGTGGAATCAAGCCCAAGTGGCAAACAGATATTGGGACATTCCAACACATCTTCAGTCACTAATCTCACCCCCTGTCTCTACTGTCCTTTGAGAATGGACATGTCCTTGCCTTTATTTCCAGATAGCAACCAATCTTGAGTCTCCAAGCAGTGACCCTTAGTCAATCCCCTACTCTCTGGGTGGAACACATATGTTGACACCAGCAACATCTGTAAATGCCTATTCCATGACAGGCTCTTTTGAATCTCTGAAATCATGTGGGATAGAAAGAAGAACCAACAGATTGGATGGAGGTGAGGCTCTAGCATTGTGTTTTTCCAAAGAGTTGCTGATGAAGACAAGTTTGATAGACCCACCTCTGGCCCAATACATCCATTGCAAAGTGTTCACAGACATAAGTGTTAGATACTGAGATGGTAATGGCTGCTCTGCTCTGTCCAAAAGAAAGTCTGGGCATCTGAAATGGTTTAAGTGATTGAATGTGAAGAGACAGCAACTTCCATCTGCTGTGGTTTATTAAACCAACTGAAATGAGTTACATCTAATTTTGGAAAACAAAACAAAACAAACAAACAAACAAAAAACTCCTGGCTATGGAGGATGCCATACGCATTTCATAATATAAAAGGAATTTTAAAAATTATCTGAGTCCACACCAGACCGCCTGAAACAGAGTACAAGCTGATCCTACATTCCAAACAGCTGGACAAAACAGCCCTACAGACTACAGCTAGGATATCTGAATCTTCTTCGAATCCCCCAAGACAGCGCCCCTTACCAGCAGGAAGTAGTTTGGAAAGAACGACGCCCAAATTCCCAAATATTGTGTATAAATGTTTGTTTTCATTTAATTGGACTTTGTTATATAAAATTAAATAAAAAATACTCTATATGCATAAAAAAAATAAATACATATTTACCTTTAAAAAAAATTATCTGAGTCTATGCTGGATAGAATCTGATAAACTAAAGTTTCTGGGTGTTCAGTGAAGTCTCTAAGACATCAGCTGGATGCTTTGAGAGGGGACCACAGCTTCTCATTGGATGGGGGAAGGATGTACCATTGCATGATGGAGTTCTTCTGTTTGAAAGTTCATTTTTACCATAATAACACAATGATTTAAGCCACAATGATAATTGGAATAGTTCAAAATAAGTGTTTTTTGTTTGTTTGTTTTTTGTATTTGTTTGTTTTTTCTTGTTTTTGCTTGCTTGTCTTACCTATGACTGCTATCTGCAGGTCTTTTTAACTCAGTATTTTGTATCTGATATCTGAGATTATTTATTTGTAGTTAGTATAATCAAAATTAAAGCCCATCAAAGATACATGTGATATTATACTTGGGCTAAACTGACTGAGACTTTTTAAAGAGTTGACAATGATGTTAAAGCATCTTTCTGCCCCTTTTAACTATATGAACTCATTTCCAACATGGACAAAGTTTCTCTTGGCTCCACCATGGGACTGTGAGGAAGTATAAACATAGCAAGGATGCCAAAGAGGACCTAACCGGCTAGAACTCAGCATCATTTCTAGAACTTACATGGTCAGCTTCACATCAATATTAGCCTTTTGTTATGAAACAAGCCTAAGAGAAATAAAGGCCTCTGTGATTAATACTGCATTGATCTGTGTTTGAATCCTGCACCAGCTTCAAATGCTAAGTCCCTTAAGAAAGTTCAGCCTTACATGCAACAAAGCCCCCTGGTGAGAACAAAGGGATAGAGAAATTTAAAAAGAGAAGAAAAAAAAAAAAAAAAACCAAGAAAAACTTCCGGAAGATTTGCAATTCACCTGTGGATTTAATAGAGGAACATGACCTTTGTATCTTTAGTCATAGGCACAAAGATCAAGATCCTGGCCCATCTCCAAAAGGAACATCAACCCAGGTCCAGCTGTAACTTACCTTGCACTATGAGATGGACCCGGGAAGTTTTGGGGTGATTGTCTGTCTGCACAGAGCAGGTGTATGGACCTTCGTCATATACATCCACATTCTGGATCATGATACTGTATTGCGTAGGTGTGTTGACCAAGATGATCACTCGAGGATCTATGGACCACTTGTCATTCCCAGCATAGAGGATTGTGCTGCGGTTTAGCCAGGCCACCCTGGTGACCCGATCATCTATGGTACACCTGTGAGGGATGTGGGGGAGAAGGTAGGGAGGTGAGGAAGAATAGAGGAGAGAAGAGGGAGGGAGAATGAGAAGGCAGGGAGAGAGGGAGGAAAGGAGAGGAGAAGAGAGGGGAGAGAGAGAGGTTACACATGTGCTCTTATATGGAACGGAGGAAATGAAACAGCAACTAAAAGAAGACATTCAATAATCAATGAAATGTTGTGAATACAAGGTAGGAGAGGCTTGAATCATCCAGAAGCCATGATACAAAATCATTTCTCCTTGATTTAGGAACACATTATATGAATATCTTGCTTGTACATTGCTTTTCCCCTTACTTTGCCCTCAGGCTTATATGAAAATTAGTTTATATTTCTTGAGCACATTTACCACATTGCGGCAGCAGAGACCCAGAGGCTCAAGGGACAGAAAGTAGATCAGTATTTCAAATAGGTCACAGATAATCCATGAGCAAATACTTAACTTGTAGTTAATCAAGACTTGAACTTATTTACCTCAGACCTCCCAGGTGCTGGTAATCTCCTTGTGCCCCTAAGCTTCACAAAGCCTACAAAGATGGGGAAAATTCACCTCAGAAAACCAGGACTTTCTCAGGCGCTCCCAGCTACCTCTGAAGATTGCAGGGGAGGTAAGATTCTCAGCAGTACCTCCTCTCCCTTTCTGTACCCCTCCATCACCCCATGACTGCAGCTTATAATCATAGAGAGCCCTTCAGCTAGTCTTCCCAGCTATGACAGGCTGAGAATGCAAATGACATCTGCTTGTTGCTGTGTATAATTTGCAGCTACCAACGCCCAAGGGAGAGACAAATGTGCCTGTACCAATAGGTCAAAGATGTGCACACCCATGTATGCTCACATAAGAGATTGGCGGCAGAGTTGGTGTCCTGGCATGGACAAGAGACAGGTGAGTCTTAACTTACAGATAAGAACAAGGCTTCCCACACAGTCTAATTAGCACTGGATGGGCCACTGAGGTGGTTCAAGCAGGTTGAAGAGACAGGAGAGCTTCTCAGAATACAGGTTGGCAAAGAGGAACCTCTGAAATGTTCGGGAGCCACAATAAATACAGAGAAAAAGGAACAGCTGAAGATGCTAACTTTAATTTTGGGCCATTTTGTAACCTTCAGCATTATCTGTAAACTGGTTTAGTTAAACTGTAGCTTCAAATTATTCACTTCCGGTCCATAGAAATAATTCACTTTAAAAAAAATTTCCAGAGAATTTCTTGGGAGAGAGAGTCTGTGTGTTCAGTGGAATTTGAACACTACCGTGATTGCTAATCATGATAATCTACCTTCAAAAATCATGACCACGCTCTTCTCTAAAAGCCATAAGTATATATTGTTCCTTTTTGAACTTGAGGTTATCCTTCCATTATATATGCTCAGCAGGATGCATTATATGCTTGAAAACATTTTTTTTGATCACCTATCATATTTATCTGTAACAAAAATATATAGAGATTGAATTTCAAATTTCTTTTATGTCCTTTGGCTATAAAACTCTAAGTAATAATATTTGCTTTTAAAATGAGTTATCACTACAAATGTAAAATTGACAAAACAATATATAGATATCTTCCACACTTTAAGTAATATTTAACCATAAAAAGTTAACGTGAACTATAAATAAAGAGCTTAATCACATGGGTAAGCCTGTTTTTTAAAACCACAAATTAAGAAATAATTTACTCCTATAATGAGATAACATTTAGGATCAATTCTATTCTGCTTTTGCTTTTAAAGAAACCTTGTTCATATAAGCACAAAAATGGTAATGAAAATCTCCTATAGCAATGACACTGAATTGCCTGAATGCCTTTCAAGATATATGGCAAAAACCTGCAAAGTAATATTGCTTCAAAAATTATTCTGATAATCTCACAGCTGACAGTTCAATTAGTTCCTCTTTCAATTTCTTTTAAAGCAATGAATTGGAAAAAAAAAAGAAAAAGAAAAAGTACCTGATTTGCAATGGGGTTTGTAACCGAATACTACATTCACCCAGTTTCGCAGTATCTCGACAAAGTGTACTGATAACATCTTACCAAGGTTCATCCAATGGCTATTAAAGACATGCTATTCTTTCCCTAGAAAAATCTTTTGTAACTCACTGTTTAACTCACTCAAAAATACCGTTTTCATATGTTAAGTCCTTCCACCCTCTATGAAAAGCATCTCATTGAGTTCCTGCTCAAGGGCAGAGGACTCACAGTGTTCCAATGAATTTGCTACTGCTGTGAGAATGAGCCCTTTCTGATTTACTGTTGTGGGGCCATCCTCAAGGATAAGATGCTGTTGGTAAGATGACATAATGGAGATGATAGAAAAAAATACTATCTCTTGGATGATTGTAACAGGGGCATACTCAGAAGGGAAGTGGTTCAACCATATATGATGGGCAATGTCCTTCTGTATGCTGTGAATATGTTTCTCTTACTGGTTGATGAATAAAGCTGATTCAGCCAATGGACAAGCAAGATTTAGCCAGGCAGGAAATCCAAACAGGGATAGAGAAGGTAGTGGGCAGAGTCCAGGAGATACCATGTAGCTGCCAAGGAAGCAAGAGATAGAGGCATCACTGGTAAGCCAAGACCATGTGGCGATACACAGATTAATAGAAATGAGTTAGTAATTAAGAGAGAGCTAGCCAATAAGAAGCCTGAGCAATAGGCCAAAAAGTTTATAATTAATATAAGCCTGTGTGTATTTATCCATGGTACAGGGTGGGACAGAAACTTCCATCAATACTTGGGCACTTTCTCAAGCAGAACAGATAGATAATTAGACAACTTGAAATTTATTTCCTCAAAAACTTTACTGTTTTCATATGGGACCAGCAACTGCAGACTGAATATGTACACAGTCTCTGCAAAATACCAGAGCTGTAGCAGAGACATGTGATTGATATTTATTAATCCATTCCCATCCTTTCAGGGAAGAACACTACAAGCATCCTCTAAAGGGTCAGTGCCCTCAGGTTGATGCATCTTAGTGAACAGTCCTGTCTTCTCTTACTTGCTTTTTAGCGGGGCCCCATTAGTGGATATGAAGTACAAACAGAAAAGAATATCAGTGGAAAGCCAGAGAAAGCAGTTCCCAGAACCTAGGAACAACAGAGAAATTCTGAGGACTGGTGGGGTTTATGGAGGAGAGCAGCCTTCTGCATGAAGGCTCTTGGCTCCTGGCTCCTGGCTTCCTCTTAGCACCATATGACTCTGCTCTGCGTGGTCCTCTGAACAGCAGGGCAGAAACCCCAGGAAGGATTTGAGCAGTGTGCTTAAGTAATCTTCAAAACCTGGGCTCTTTTCCTGCTATTTGAGGCAATATGCTGGACCCTCTTTAACAAAAAGCACAGAGGGGAGCATGTTTGATGTCAAATAAGAGAGAGTTGGTAGGCAAGGTGAGGAGGGTTAATGACAATTTTATGATGTCTTGAAAACTCCTAGGCATGTAAAATCTTTACAGTCCAAGCCAACACTACCTAGTAGTCCTTGTTGGAACAGAACTCATTACAGCTCAGTTGTAAATGACCCCTAAAAGTATAACTTGCTGACTGTTCATCCAGGAGTACATGTGAGAACTTTTCATGCATTATATCCATTCCAAACAACCACCTTTGAAAAACCATTTGCCCTATCCATAGTTCACAGATAAGGAAGTCGAGGCACAGAGATATTCAATAACTAGTCTCAAAGAGCTAGGCCAATGAAAGCAGTGAGTGATGGGCATCCTCAGAGGAAGCTTTGTGGAGCTCTGGCCTAAAGCTTGAAGCATTTGGCTGGCTACACTTAATCACAGTTGTGCAACTCTACAGGACCTATCTTTTTCATAAATGACAAAATAACTTAAGAGGAAAGGAAAGCCATCTAGTACCATCTTTTATGTGTCCTTGAGTCAACTGCAGTGTGAGCAAAGTGGGTAGAAATTTTTTGAGACAGAGTTTCTCTGTGTAACTTTTATCTGTCCTGGAATCAACTCTGTATACCAGGTTTACTTTGAAATCACAGAGATCTGCTTGCCTCTGTCTCCCAAGTGCTGGAATTAAAGGTGTGTGCCAGCACACCCAGCTACTCTCTGTCCTTATATTATTCTTTTTTAAACCATTTTATCCCGTTTCTTTTTCTCTTTCAAGCCTACGTGAGCCAAGGGGGGTGGGGGAGATACCTGAAAGGGGACTGAAAGGCAAATGTGGCTCTCCAACTCTACTGAGTGTGAAACAGGAATTATGAGGGTTAGTTTTTCGTAGTAGTCTTTGTTTTTGTCTCTCATTTTCAGAGGTAAGACTGCAGTTCAGGCAAACCTTCACCTGAAAACACAGGTTTCCAGACTCAGTAAACATGAAAAACTCAGGCCAGTAAGGCCTGCTCCCTTTGACTTCCAGCCAGAGGCCAGAAGGACCTGAGACTTTACCTTTGCCAAGCTCTCCAACTGCTGCCCTATAGAGTCTTCCTTGAGAACTGCTTTTCTTGAGGAAATAGACATTATTCTGAGTACATTGAAGGTGCTCTTGCTGGAAATGTTACCTCCTCATATGGACCACAAGATGACCAAAAGTAAGTTGAAAGCTTGGCATCTCCGTTTTCACTTTGGATCTGACTCCTTTACTTTTGATCACCTGTTTACTTCTACATAGAAGCATGCTCATTGCTCAAGTTGTGTCTGTGGAGAAGCCATTGATATCTACCCAACATCTTTCCCCTTCAAGGATGAATAAACAGACAGCAGGAACTGTGCAAAGTCAGCATTTTACAATTTCCTGTTCCAGATCCCCAAAGAATCTTGAACTTCTCAAATAATTGTTCTAAAACTATAGTTACTTTAGGTTCCAGGAACAGCAAAGTCTCCCTGGAGAGCCCACCTCCCAGATAAGAACAATTGCCTATGGTTTCCAGAGTGAACACTAGAGTGGTGGCAATCACTTCGTGAGAACCAGGCTGTCTTCTCAACCGCTATGGATTTCTTCAGACCTTCTTTCCTTGCCGAACCAGACTGAG